TGTATTTCCTATTCACCATATGTGTATCCCTAGTCATTTAAAAGCTGATTGATGTACAGTAAGTCAACAATACATTTGTTGACTCAGAGGTTTAAACACAGGAGACTCTATTAATGAGAACGCTCCTTTTTAGTTCCTGTTTATCTAGAAAACTGACCGACTTTGGTAGAAACATCTTTCGATATGTTAAGAAAGAAAGCTTAACTAAAAAGAATGGAAAGCAACAAATATAAAAAGAAGAAGGAGGATGGTAATATAAAAGCAATAATAAGTGAAAACCATCCCATTGTGCTAAGTCGGTAAGTTCTGAATGAAATTAAAATGTGCAACCTCCAGGCATTCAGTCTGGTAGGTGAATACCGAGGCAATCAACATATTTCAGTTCATGATTTTTCATTGCAGTTTTAGATGACTTTCCAGAATTTGATTGAAAATATTCACTTTAAATTGCGTGAGTGCCAGTGATGGAAAAGCATTAAGTACAGGTGACAATGTCAATAGGCTTGTACTTAGAGAAAAAAAACCCAATCAAATTCCTTTACTGTATCCATCAGAGTCTAGAGTTTCTAAATTTAGAGAGGTGAGACCGATTTTGAACGCAGCCCAGAACTGCTTGGAATGAGATTTTTGGCATAATGTTTTCCTCCTTTCATCTTGTGATGACATTCTGCATACATTAAAGATGTCATTATTTCAGCATTTAACTATAGACAAGAAGTCTGATCTTGCCTGACAATTTGTTTATAACCATTTTAGCTCCATTTTAGCTGAACCTCAAAATAAAATTACCATTGCCATTATCTATTGTAAAAATCTGTGAAATATAAATTTTACAACTTTACTGTATCTTCATACTCTATTATTAATCCCTTATTATCCTGCAAACTCTATACATTTCCACATTTTTCAGTTGGTCACAGCACTGAAAAATGCTTTGTGTTATTTTTTATTTTCCATTGTGTTATTGTTTTACCTTAATATTTTTCTGTACACCTGTTGCAAATGTTAATTTCTTTTGTAAGCTTTGCCTATATCTTGATACACTCTATCTTTGAATCTCAGACCCTTTTACACATTCTGTAGAGCACTTCCTTTAAACCATCTAGTCAATATTTTCCTAAACTTGAACTTAATGCTTACCTTTCCTTCACTGTCTGGTATTCTAAAATTGTAATCCTTAACTTTAATCCTTAATTTTGAAATAAATGTAAAGTCTTAAGAAAAAATATCATGGATCATAATTTCTCATCATATTTATTGCCTAAATTATATTCAGGATGTTTGCAAAAACATGGTACTTAAGAGCATCTTTCCTAGGGAAGTACATTTACAAACTGGTTTAAGCACAGGTCATTAACCATTTCAACTAAATCAATTTCAGGTTCTCCCTCAAAATATTACAATTTATGAGTGGAAAGTTGTAATCTCCCAGCAAAATAATGTCAAATTTGTTAAATACCTTCCTCATCTCATCATATCATCAATGCAGCCATACACATAGTGTTAAGTCATTAAAATTTCTATTATGTAGTTTAACCTGTATATTATATTCTAACATTTCTCAACTCTCTTGTATTAGTTCTCTCATGTTCAGGGTATTAGGGATACATACTGTGGTTACACATCACTATCCATTAAATCCCAAGTATCTTGCAGTAAAAATGTTTACTCGTTTGTATTCATCCCCATCATCCCCTCCGAGTTTCAATTATTTTCAAAATGTCAACATTTCAAAGCCCTGTATTGTTGTTCTTTTCTCATGTGACTGACGTTACACACTGTGTAAAACTAAATTCACCAGAAAGACAAACAGTTACAACCAAAAACACTAAAGTGCAGCCAAAGCTTAGATTTGAGAGAACTGAATGTTTCTTTATTCAAAAATCCAAACTGGAGTTTGCTCTGGTTCAAAAATATGGTTACGGATTTGTAAAAGATAAAAGTACTGAGGCCTCACTAATCAGTATATGTCTGTGGATAGAAGGATATACTGTAGCTGGTATGCTAGTAGCCCTCCAGTGTAAATACAACTGAGATCAATAGGAGCTAGAAAAAAAACTTTATAAACCTATTGCCAGTATTTAGCCACTACTACAAAAAACAAATCAACACCTCTCTTCGCATGGAATTAGTCACTTTCAGTCCATCACTATTTGCAAGAAAATGGCTGATAAAATCCAAAGCAAAACCATTTTCAAAGCAAAGTACTAAGTAAGCTGGACAGACTTCTCATCAGTGTTCTATTCAATAACAAAACCAAAATGAATGCAAATGTTCACAATACATCATTTACACCACTGCCGTCCTATAGACTATCCATAAACGAAGACTGAAACTCAGGTTACAAAAACGTTGATCACATCAGCTGATCACATATGTTATGACGATGCCTGGGTGATGTCGCCCACTAAAAAAACATTTCTGGAACAATTAAACACTGGCAAAGCTCTAGAGAAGAAAAACCACAGGGTGTAGGTAAAACGGACAACAAGCTTCCATCCAGTCTTCTCATGCTCACTCACCTCATTGTCAGATTCTACAAGCACTTGATCGTATTCGCTGAGGGCAACTAAAAACATGATGGAGGTCACATTTTCAAAGCAGTGTATCCATTTTCTCCTCTCAGATCGCTGTCCACCCACATCCACCATCCTGAAAGAGTACAAATGAAAGTGATGTTTCCAGAAAACGAAAAATGTTTCCATGGAAAAGAAAAGGCTTAATGGGTGCGAAACTAAACACAGAGAAACCAAAATCACCTTTCTAATTAGATCAACATTTAGAAAACGTGCTAGACACGACACATGCTAGACATGATTGCGTCCAAATTTGTAGCACAGCAGTTAAAGTGCGGTGATCTAATGCCATTTAAATTTATATATACTCTAATTGCACTTTATAGTATTAAAAAAATGTGTATGGTAAACATCCCCATCTGACCATATCAGTTTGGACACGTATTCAAAGAAATAAAAAGTGCCAAAGCACTACAAAATGAAATCCGTCACCAAGTCTTGGAAAGCAGGCCGTCTAACCTGAAAATGACGCTTTGTAAGTCGAAAGGGTACTCAATGATCCCTGTGGTGGGGACTCGGACTCTAAGCACATCTTGCTGAGTAGGCAGATAGGCAGGATCTGCTATACGGTCCAGGTCGTTCAGGTAGCTACAAACAGGGAGAGACAAGAGGAACGCAACACAGTGACATTGTGATCCCACTGAGGGAAGGGGAGGAGGGAGGCAAGGAGAGAAATGGGAAAAGGAGGGGGGGTGGGGGGTGAGAAGGATGGAGGAATGAGGTACACCATTCTTCCTCCTTTGTGGGGCTCTCCCTCGGCAAGCATCCTCCTCCTCAGCGTCTCGGAGCAGGAACTGCCCAAGCACCCTGCTTTCTGCCAGATTGTGCCAATCATGGTTTCCCAGTGATGCAAGGTATGTTTCAGCTTTTCCCTTAATCTTAAGCCACAGGCAATTCAACAATTTCAAGCATTTTTATCTTTAAATGTAACAGGGTACAAGCCACATTCTTTTCAAATCTCTGCAAGACAAATCAGTGGCATAGTGCTGTAAAAATATCCATGCTAATGTCCAATGTTTCAAACTGAGATATCATGAGATTTTATGTCAGGACACTCAAACTAGTTTAAGAGGATGAAGAATTTTGGAAATGGACACACCTTGCCAACTGGAAAATTTACAACAGGCCGCAATCACTACCTGAAGATAATATTCTCCAGATCAAATGGATACTCAATGATGCCAGTTGTAGGCACTCGAACCCGCAGCACATCCTGTTGGGTTGGCAGATAACCCAGTGCTGCAATACGGTCAGTATCACTAAGGTAGCTGTGGAGTAAGAAAGAATGTTAGCACCCCAAACTCCCAAAAAACTGAAAAGCCGGTGGTGACCTGCTGTTATCAGGAAAACATTCTTCAAGAGTCGGATAACTTTCGTTTTATTTCCTCCCTTATTCCCAGAAGCTCACTTTCAGTTTTACTTTCAGGCGGTCATCATGCTTCTTTGATATCTACAGAAACTGAAAGTACAGCTCAAGGAGTTTGGTTTTGAAAATCTCTTAAAAATTAAAACTGCATTTAATCTTTATCATATTTAACTTTTTTCTCATAAAATTGGAGAAGCTCTGCTCCAAAGTCCTTCAAACTGAAACCAGTACCGTATATCAAAAACGTGCTTGTCCAGAGGAGCACAGCTGCTTTCCCCAGCCCATTGGGGCCACATCTATCTGAATAAGACTGGACCCAGGCCACAGCTTGCGGGATATCCAATGCCATCCCTTACCTTGTGGCAATATATTAATATAAACATAAGCTGCTCGTATGCACATTCACTCAGGCATGCAGATCGCAACACACAAACTACCTCACAGAAGATTTTATTTGACATTTATTTAAATAATCATCTAGTGCTTCAGGTGGCCACCACTTTACTAGAGTCCAGTGTCCTCCAGCGGGTGTTTTGGAAGGCTGCTTGATATGCTGTAAAATGTGTCAGCTGTCCCTTCTTGGACGGCCTTGCGAACGGTCAGTTTCACTGCACATGCATACATTGCCATAATCAAATCAAACCAGAACTATGACCCCCCTTCGGCTTCAAATGGGTTGCCCCGTGACATCAGCCAAAACAGCAAGATCTGCGATCCCCTCCATATCGTCCACTAAAGACCTCACTCTTCCCATTTACGGAAGTGAAAACCCCCTGCTGCATGCTGCTGCGTATGATCTCCCTGCAGTCACTCAACAAATGTCAAAAGCACTGAAGTCCACAATATGTCAGAAGGTTACGCACAAAGTTTATAGTGGATACAACAATTCAGCAGATACCTACAGGCCTTCCTGGGGTAATATTAAGTTTTGCTGCTTCAGCAGGAAAGCTCAATTCCCCTGGTGTTTGTCTGAACAGCGCATGAAAGCATTAGTTTCACCAACCACGGCAGCAGCACTGACAGTCGTCCCCAACCACACATTCATCCCACTGCAGAGACAACTCTTCACTGAAAATGTCAGTAAGTGGCTCTACGATGTGCACAAGGAAGAGATGCGAGCTCTTGGTGTACTTCAAATGCTCTGCAACGCCACAAATTAAATGTCGGGGACTATTGGTAGCATAGGCACTTTCATCCATTTCATCCATCTAATAGTCTCAGTAATTTCCCATTGGAAAAAGGACATTGATTTAGGAAAAAGTTGAGAAACTTCAAAAATGACTAAACTAGCAGCTTCAATTTATTTGGTTTTCTTTTCCGCAACACCCTTGTTGAGAAGTTGCTTCCCCTGGAAATGCCTCATATTTGGGCTGTTTTGTGCCATAAAGGCATGTGACACAGGGATTGGATTCAACAGCAAAATATTTTCCTGTCCTTGAGGAAACCTCCTGTGCACCTGGTATTTTTTAGACTTTGACAGTTACAGTATGTTAAGATGTATACTACAAAAAGTTTCATAGGAGAAAAATACTTTTGGGCAGGTACATATTTTTCCCTTGTCGTTTTTAACCTGTATATAATCCAACTGAAAGTCTCTCTTGGCTTTTCCAAACCTAATCTTAATATGACTAAATTCAGGTCCATCACTAATGACCCCCCCTAACCCAGTTCTACAGAAGGGGGTACAGGGAAACATGCACTAAAACACGCAAAGCAATAATTGGAATGAAAAGTTTGTGACCCTTACATCTTACAATACATTTTATGAAAGAACAAAACCTCAATATTCGATATTGTCGAAAACCTCAATTTTTGGGATAAATATAGCAGCATATTTATTTCTAAAAGGCAGCAGCCATTTTTAATATTTATTAATATTAGTATTAATGGTTTTGAGCTGGGAAAAAAAGCTTCTGGTCAGCTGTAAGTTGTGTATCCATGTGCTAGTCCCTTCTAAGACGCGCAGAAAATGTGGAACAACATCTATTTGACAATCAATTGTAACTCGATTGAAACTACAAGGGAGGATTAAAGCTTTTTAAAAGGGTTATATGATTTCAGTGGCCTAGATAGCCCAGAGGACACTGGATATTGAACACAGCCTCCACAACTGGCTACTGGTGAAAAAATGGAGTGCTCCTGTACCTGTAAACACGCTATCTGATGGGATTAAAACCTGATGAGACCCAGAAGAATTGGGAAGCAGATAAAACACATGGCGATTTTAAAACAGCGGACAGATCTGAACATTTCACTAACTTATACAAGAAACAAATTCAGATTAAACGGGGCCATCAATTGGGCCTCAAAAGTAAACTCTCAAAATGCTATACCTGTTATTATTTCAGGTGGCTATAAACCTATTACTTGTTCCTTATACCTGTTATTATGTTTGCAAGAGGATTAGAGGACGAGTGAAAAAACAAGATGTGCCTATATCAGCCTTCATTGACGTTACACACAATTAATGTCAGATCTGTTTACTGTCAAGTTTCAAAAACTTAAAAACTGATCTCACAAAACAATCTTCAAACGAAGGATTGATATAGAGAATGTGGATGTTAAGTGGAATTCATGATACTTGACACAGCACAATCTTTCACAAGTAAATATTCCAAGATGGACAAAAAAGTGCACAGTTAATTCTACTGAAGGACATGAAGGTCAATTTCACAAATTAACATAGTTGCTGCATCTGTTACTTTCTTGTGAAAGAGTAGCATGTGCATGTTCATTTGTGACAGAAGGGTGCAACAGGATAATGTACAACCATAAAGAATGAAATACGGCACAGCTGAGGTCTGTGTGTGAGTCTTTGGTGCACAAAATAATTAAGTAAAATGTGTGGGTTAACAAAAGCAGGAGGTTTCAGCCATGCCCTGTGGTCAGTATTTTAAAGAACTATTACCTTGCCTTTAATGCTACACGCTTTGAAAAGGTCACAAAAGGCAAATCTGTGCTGCAAACAAATGTTAAAACAAATCCTTTGGCCTGATTTGATTAAAAGTTTATCCAGCTGCCAGTTCTTTGGTGATTTTTTTTCCCTTCAGACATCACCAGATTAAAACTAAAATTTGGTCAAGTGAAGGCTGTCAATTGCTACAAGCTATACTAAAAACTTTTACCTGCTAAAGATTTGATTGATACCCTTTTACAGGGTATCAATGTGTTTTACATTGTCAATTAGTTCAACATACCATAAAAAGATAACTGCATAAATTCAGTCCCCATTTATATTCAAGGATCTGTCATTTTATTAGCCATTAATATCAGCTCCTTTTTTTGAGGTAAAGCACATAGTCATGAGGCTGTATGAATTTTACAGATTACATCTAATAACCTTAAATTATTCAGATTTATAACAAAAGACCTTGATCTACTTTACCTTCTGATTCACACTATAAAATAGAAAGATCTTAGAGAGCACAAATGCTGCTTAGAGAATTTACCAGGAACAGAGGAGAGCAGAGGATACTCCTGAAGAGTTCTTAACTGGATAAATCAAGAATGTACAGTATTTTAACTATTTTTCCACCTCTTTAAAATGTTTTTGAACTAGCCAAAAAAACTGACCGACTATAAAACATAGAGATTACAGATTGGAAAAATAGCTTTGTTATCAGAGTAAAAGAAACCAGAACAATAATTGTCTTACTTTCCTGAATAATCGCTTTGGATTTGACTGGATTTGACCCACCGGGTTTGACTGGAAAACAACTTCACTGACCCATTTGGAGTTGGACTTTGCATATTTCCAGAGCACTATTTGATTTACAAATTGTTAAAAAAATATGGCTCTCAGAGAAATCAAACCTTTAAAACCACACCAGTCTGAATTTTACAACTTTAAAAAAAGATTTAACAATACCTACATAATAAATACCCTATTCTGGGAATTTATGTTAAAATAAAGAATACACACTATCTGTAAGAGAGAAAAACAATGATTTTATAGATAAACGTGCAAGCCTCTGTGCATTAAAAGCAAGGTTACAGAAACTCTGTTAATCCTAAACAAATAAAAGTAGGAAATTGAACAGGTTTCTCATAAAAGTCCTCACATTTTACCCCCATCCATCCATTTTCAGTGCTTTTGCTTGCTCTGCTAAAATTTGCAGCATGTAAAAACTAAAAAATGATAAAATTATGAGCACTTACTATTTAGTTGAATCCGAAAGTTGGTATTCTCTCCGTCTATCATAACATTCCTGGATACCTGGGTCATTCCATAAACTCTTAATGGCATCTACATAAGGGTTTTCGAATACACTAACTTTTTCTACATCAACTTCACGGACTGTATGTGCATTGCCCTGAAAAAGAAAAGAAAGAAAATTATTTCATGCATCTTCACAGAGACTTTTGGTATTTATTAAAACTTTTACTCATTTAAAAATCACTTTTACAAAATACAATGACTCCATTCCATAAATGTGGGAAAAGAACATTAACATCACAGAATGCAATAGCTAGGACAATACTTTTCTAATACAAACAAGTTGTTTCCATGAAAGCTCATCTGAAGAAGCAGGAAAAACACTGTCCCTGCCATCATGCCAATGTTGTTTTTGTTAATACCAGTTTTTTGTTTTCAACTAGACTGCAGATAAAATTATAATTGCTGATGTGATAAACATATTGGATAATGACAACAGAGACTTTAAATGGCACAATTTGGCATGCAAAAAAGTACCAAGGCTATATTCGCAGCCTTAACAGGACTCTCACGTGCTAACTAATCACTAAAAAAGACTCTGTAAAACACTTCTCCTACAGAAAATTAATTTGTTAAACCCCCTGGAGTCTCCTCGCTGATGGCACCTAATTATCTTTGAGGTCTCCACTGGCAAACTCTATAAGGAGAAACAAAAACTAATTTTTCAAGTACTGACCCACAATCAAACCAAAATGGATATAAGAAGTCCTTGGTCAATGATTTACAGGTGAGAGATCACATAACATTTGGCAGCTCTTTTATTCCCATGTCCTGTATCTGGGAAAGCATTTAGATCTACAATTCATTCTTCAGAAACCCTTACTGTTGAGAAAGGTAACTGACAAATATTGACCCTGTCCTGCAAATACACTGAAGCCAAAAGCTGCCATTATGTTAATATGCCTCATGAAAATACTGTACACTATATCAACAGTTGCAAGCACTGACATTATCAGATTGAGGTCAGTATTGATCTGCTAGACGGCACACTTCAGAAAACTACACTGAGCTTGTCCTTGATTTAGTTTCTTCAAGTGTGTGGGGAGGCAGGTCCTGCTAAAGAGTTCTTCTCTGCACTAGATAATGTTGGATCCCTTTCAAATAAAACATACGGACCTCCCAGCTTCATAAATACTGCTTTAAACCTGACTGTTGTTGCTGACATGTTCAGACGATTTCCATATTTATCCCTTGCCCTTTTGAGAAGAGCCAAAATAAAAGACCTTTTCACCATGACATCCAAGCACATCTCTTTCATTTTGGGAAACTAATGTGAAGAGAAAGCCAGTTAATATTTTTTATTTACTGAAAAACCCATATCAGTCTGGCAAGCAGTCCAAAGCTTCCTGTTCATGCACTCTGTTGAGGAACACCCTCATCCAAACTAATCATTCTTGAAAGGAAGAAAAAACAAACACCAGCTGGGAACTGCAGCATAAGGCTAAGTTCACTTCAGTTCGACATAGTTGAACTATAAGACTTCTGACAGTTTTTTGAAAGCTTTCACAGTTACTATATGCTACTATAAAGACAAATGAGATCATCAGAGAATAAGGCCGGGGAAATGTATGATCAATAATTTAGTTGTCACTACAGCACCATTCTTTTAATCTGACCTCTGTGCTATCAGAATTTCGGTTTCAAGATGCTTCCTTCAAATATTTGTAGCCCCTGGTTAACGGTGAAGAGAACTAAGCCAATATATGAGGTGGGACAGAATTTCAATTTCTCTTACATAGATAAAGTCCTTTATTTTATTAATTTCCCCCAAGTGAAAATGAAAACCCCCAAGGTCAGAAAAAAATAGATAATTAATCACTTTAAAATTCCCCCTTTTCAATAAAATAAAGACTTTTACTTTATTCTAATTTTCATCCATAAAATCTATTTAAGAGGGGAATCATTATTGAATAAAATTTAAAAATTTAAAGAAAGTCATTTAAAACTTATTTACTATATATGTTACGTTCCTCTATGAGCACAGCATGATTTCTCTGTGTTGGGTCAACTGTGGTTACAATTTGTTTCTTGTTTATTTATGTTGTTGCACTGGGCCCCCTACTGGTAAATTAACAGCAACACATCCGAACAGGTCAAATCCACCTCATAAGGCTCTGTGAATTGAATATTATTTTTGTATTCCTAATGTAAGAAATAATGTATACAAACTGATCATTACCATTACAAAATTAGCAAACTCCTGCAACTGAAAAACATTGAGCAGTGTTACTTCAAAATAAAAATTAAAATATTTTGTAAAAAATTAAAAAATAAGATGACAATCTGACTGTATGCATCTCTGTACGTACATGGTATAAATAGTATATCTCTGTATATATACTCTGTAATATCTCAGCATGTTAAGGAAAAAAGCATGGATTTTTGGCTGATGGACATTCATAACCATTAATAATTAATTTAAAAATAACCTCGAAATTAATGTTTCTCTATTAAAATAAGGTTTTGGATACAGATTTAATGGTTTTGGACTCATTTTCATGAATTGATCACTCGTGATCACAATGCTCTTGAGTGACTTTGATTGTCACATAAGCAACAACCCTAGTTGTTGTAATGTGACAATGCACACTCGTGTAATGTCTCAATCGATCTGAGCATTTGAGGGATGAGCTGGGATGATGGGTGGCACCGATAGCTCATAGACCAGTTAACAGACACGCTGTGTTTCCAGGTTCTACGAGCGGAATGAGACGGAATACCAAAAGCTCGACTCCGATTGAGCTTTCGGCCGTTTCGTCTTGCACACACAACCAGCCTGTCTGTCGATCAGGCTTGCTAATGACAAATGTTAATCTGTACAATAAACCCAGAAAAGACTTATGCAGGGAAAATGAAAAAGGAATTAAAAAATAGGAGATGAACATCTATTAGGTGGGTGTTTCATGAGATGTCATAATTTGACTTTCCAACTAGCAGTTTGTTTTACTGAACCCAATTGTCCAATTGCCTCTCCTAGGTCTATGGGCACTGAGTAGGTTTGCATCTGTCTAGGATACAGTGCTTTAAAAAAAATAACCACTCCTTTGAAATCTGACATCTACCAGATTAAAAACAAATCCTGATCTTAAATCAGTTTTATAAATAATTTTATAGGTTATTTTAAATATATTGGCTTGGTTAAGGAAACTGTGTTAATTACTAATAAACTGGCTTTGACCAACTCAGATAGCATCAAATATGGATTGATCTCATTTTTGAAAAACGTATAGTTCCACAAAAATATGATATGACTGGATGAGATTGCATGGCAGTAAATAACCAAACGTTTATGTTAAATATTCTAAAATAGTTATGATACAATGTAGTCAACATGTAATTAGAAACAATGTTTTAATGGATAATAAGTTGCACAAGCTTCAGCTCTGATTGTGAATTGTAAATAATCAGCTAATGTTGTATTAATGTTTTAACTTTTACAAGGGCCATATGAGAATTTAGGTGCTGTAGTTCCAAGTTCAGCCCTTATATTATTACTAGGTGATAAGAAAGTCATGTCAGATATTTTATGTCCTGATGAAGGCACATTTGGTGCTGACACAGAGTCTAGATTAATAAATTCTAAAGACATGGAGAGTGTGACATATCCAGAGTTCATACATGAAATCCTTTTATTATGAAATTCTATCAGCCAGCACCTCGCTTGGTGTGAGGTTTGTATTCATTTGACCGTTTACTGAGCATTCCATAAGTGAAGATAAAAACGAAATGAGATATATGATCCCTATAGAAATCAGAAAAGCAAAAAGACGAAGGTACAGTATGTGAATAGCCTGTACTAATGTTTCTGCTTTGCACTGTACCAGAAGAGACTGTATCAAAATCCCCATGGAGTCTCCTTCACTTGAGGAGCTTGAAATCAAAAGCACTGACAGATTTGGCAACAAAAATGCACGCATAAGCTTCAGGCAGGAATCTGTGGATAATGTCTAAAAAATGTGTCTTTAACTTAAGAGGTAAACATACTTCACTAAAATGTTTGGGTCGATATCAAATTTAGATTAGTTCTTACAGGCATAAATGCTTTCAGCATCTGATAAGTAACATTCTTTAACATTATGATGCGTGTTCAAGTCACTTTTAATTATTCCTATGTACAACATCTTACCGATTTGTTTAGCCTCTTAGGATATTTCTCAGTTGTCAGTGAAACAAGGGTTTTTTAACTCAACTACAATAGTTCATTTTGTTTGCTGCTTGGGACAAAGCTGTAACGCAACCAGTGCACGGATTTAGATTTTTAGGCTTTATATCCTTACATTTCTTTTCTAAACCACTTTATCGTCACAGGAGAGCTGGAGCCTATCCTGGCAAGCAACAGGCACAAGGCAGGACACATCCTGGACAGAACACCAGTCCACCGCAGGACACACAGAGACACAAACACACAGTCACACCAGGTTGCATTAACTTACTAGCATGCCTTTCGACTGTAGGAAGAAATCAGAGCACTAACCCGCACCAACACAGTGGAAAACACAAACTCCACACCGATAGCACCCCAGGAATTGAATCCAGGGTCCCATAGCTACGAGGCACCAATGATAACCACAGAGCTGGTGTGCTGCCACCTAACTCACAGATTTCCCACTGCAGAAATGAACCTGTTTTGATATACTGAGCAGTCAAGGAGAGAAGATACTTAAAAGGTTACACAATTGTAATGACTCCGTGCACACACTTAAAAACCACTAGCCTAGAACATAAAGCTTCATGAAACTGAGGTATGTTGTTCGTAGCTATAGAAACAAATAATACTAACAGGCAAATCCCAGTTTCAAATTGTAAGGAACTTTCTGCTTCTAAGAATTCTGGATTTAGAAGAGTTCCTGGCAGATTGGTTATGACAACTCTAAACTTTCCGGGTGAAGGAGATCTCGGAGGATTTCGTTCACGGATAATGTATTCCCAGTACAACCAGTACAGGATGTGGGACTGTCAAGAAACAGAAAGCAACTGAGCATGACGTGCCAAATGCCTCTCCCTCACATTTGGCCTTTTATTCTGACAGGGTTTTTAAATGCAAATATTTTAATATTTGCCTAAAATGTCAAATAATATTATGCTGTATATGTCATA